AGACTGCGCAGTTGAATCACCGTCTGACTGCGTTCACTTGTTATGGAGGATACGAGATTTCTTTCCTTATGACACATGCGTGTGTTATGAGGCATTAGGTGAGTACGAAGAGACTTTTTGGAATAATAGTTCAAGGAAAGGATCCTGGAAGTTAGAAAAAGGTTTGTGTTGGTATCTGACAAGCCATTCTAAGGGGTTCCATTCTAGAACACCTCAAGGTATCCCTAAATTCTAGTGTGGTGCCATTGTAGTGCGGTTCGATTCCTGAGCAGGTTGCGGTCACAATTTCAATCACCGATACACCATGACGGAAGTAATCAAAGCAAGAGATGAAGCGGATAAAATGACCCCGTTCCTCATCTTTTTTGGGGTGGGGTTCCTCTTTGGTCTGTTTCTGGCCTACCTACATGTCCGACTTGTGAGATCCATGGTCGAAGAACGACTTTCACATATTCCTAAAGCGAAGAAGGTAAAGGTGAAGAAAGGTAAAAAAGGAAAGAAAGGGAAGAAAGGAAAGAAAAAGAAGTGAATCATCGCTTTCGAATAAATGGTTGTCTGTTCGTAACGACACGAATAATAAATATCGCATTGGATCGCCTTGCTACGGCGTAACTTCTGCGTTCAAAATGGAAGCTCAGAAAAGTCATGAAAAATTCTTTGTAGGTTCCACTGAAGAATGTAATCAGTTTCGCGAACTCGTATGGAATCATCCATGTGAGCGTAAAATGAAAGATGCCGGTGAGCAACGTCGGGTGAATGAGCAGTGAGTTTTCTTGTGGCTTGATTTCTAGATAGGGCCGGACATGAAAAAGAGCTGTACAGCTTCTTCATCACTGCCAGCTGCTCTATCCCTCCAACCCTTCAGCACATATGACTTCACAAAAACAAGCTTTCTGTTTTATTTCTGCTTCCACATTAGAAAAACATGCAGGTTAGTACGCCGAACAGAAGCACTATCGTAGTACGTGGCGATTAAAGCAACAGTCCCAGCAGGGTGGGCGTGGTCGGAAACGACTGCAATCCCCTCGGCCGATTCCGACCACGCCCACTTCAGCTCCCTCCCTAGCGGCTTTCCAAGGTGAGTTTTTGTTCAGTCACACTTCTTACGTTCTTGACTAGGGGCTGAACAGCTCCGAAGTGGGAATCGGCCGAGGGGATTGCAGCCGTTTCCGACCACGCCCACCCTGCTGGGACTGTTGCTTTAAGGACTGAAGATGGCTCTGGCTATGTTCTTGACTCATCTCAATCTCACCTGCTGACCTTCACATCAAAAATTCCGCACCGATGACATCATAGTTAGATCCCCCCTCCTTTTTAGACGTTCCTCCTATCGAAAGTATAAGACAGCACTTCGAAAAACGGTACCAAATTATACTGGTCTATGCAATACAGACTGAATCACGGCGCCCACCTAGCAAACCCCGTCATTAATGTTTTGTATAACAAACACAAGAACATGAATTTAAAAAGCGAACGATGAAATTCAAAGTGCTATAGATCATTTCGTGATTGCAGAACATTTTTGTTATTTGATAAAAAAAAACACAAGTACAGTCCTTCAATGGACCATAGACAACTACAAGAACACCGTTTGAATCAAAAGCGCAGTTTGAAAACACACGTCAGTGGAGTTGTAACTCGGCCTTCCAGTAGTAATGCAGAAAGTTCCAAGAAAAAGTGTCTCCTTGTCCATGTGTTGCCAAAAAAATTTCGAGCTTTGTGTTCGGCCAAGTGCAATTGCCTGTTTTGAACCAAAGCAGCGATTACCGATAAGCTTCAGAAAAGGTTAGAAAGAGACTGTGGGCTCCCTGGTACCCCTCGCCTTCAAATAACCAGAAATTGTGCAATTGCAGAAATTGACGTGGCATTAACGTGGCACCTTTTCATCGAGAATTTGACCGCGTGGCACACGTGGCTTCTTGAATCTCGTTGATGCCAGGTCAATCTCTGCAATTGCACAATTTCTGGTTATTGACGCGAGGACGTCGATGGCGGACAGAAGCGAAAACCCGGCGAAAAAACGCAAAAGAACTCCCCTCTTTAGCAGTCGTTTTTTCACTATGACAGTGCTGCTACAAGAAGGGCGATGAACATTCAGCGGCAACGTTTGGTTACGCATTCAACCACACTCCGATCCGAATGCCCAGTTGTGGGCACTGCTGCAACGATGCCGTCAAATCACCCATCGAAAGCGCTACACCTCGCTTCCCTGGCAGCCAAGTCCACAAACGTTCAATGTGGTCATATCTCTACCGATCGCTCCCACGCTAAATCGTAATCGCTACCTTCAACAATGTTACATCCATTACACGCCATTCAATGGAATGCGCTTAATTTTTCCTTCTGGTCAAAGTCAAAGGAGAAAACAGTTCGAGACAATAGGTGTGGGTCATTGCAATCGAAAAGGAGAGTCAGTACAGCAAGTACCTACCAGTAACGAGAGACGAACCAACATGCTAGAAATCCTAACGATCAAGGCGCCGATACGTGTGAGCGAAGTGGCGCTGCCCCTTATGGTTAGTTCTTCCGCATTCCAAAAAGATTGATTACGTACCAAGAGGTTGTGTACACGGGGGAGAAAGTAGCAAGAGCAATAACCCCAAACAATGACGTAGTACACAAATATAGATTTTAGTATTTTCAGAAGCATTCGCCGGTTTTCTTTGAAATGATTAACCAAAATTATACATTATATTAATTTATTGCGTGTTCCGTTTCAAGTCCAGTACATAGCGAGTGCCACTGTTGAATATGCCTCTAATAATTGTTGTTAACTGCCGCTTTGCTAGCAACATCTTTATGCAAAAAATATATTCCAAATTCGAGCAGTCAAAAGGCGTGCATCGCCGACTTCATCTCAGGCAGTTCTTAGATAATATGGGCCTCGTTGCTAATGATCTAACATCTGCCCGAAAAGCACAGGTTAACGTAGTTCGAGTTTTGACTAACCAGAAGGATGTAGAATCGAAGTGGCCGTTCAAAATGAAATGTATACCTTCCTGATGCGTCTCAGACGCTGATTCCAAATCTGCCTTCCAAATCTGCTAAACGACTCTCCGAACGGAGTTATGAAGCGTAATAGCTCAGTGGTAATGGTCCGGGGTGGCAGGTAAAAGCTCGTAGGATCGGTTCCTTTGCAAATTGGTTGCTTTGCTTTTGTCTCTAGAAGTGTTGCGGACAAAAGCAAAGCAACAAACTTGCAAAGGAACCGATCCTACGAGCTTTTACCTGCCACCCCGGACCATCACCACTGAGCTATTACGCTTCATAACTCCGTTCGGAGAGTCGTTTAGCAGATTTGGAAGGCAGATTTGGAAATCAGCGTCTGGAGACGCATCAGGAGGTATACATTCATTTTCAAACGGCCACTTCGACCTACCATCCTTTCCTTGTCTAAAGGGCTCCCTCTCCATATCTGGACCCTTTATATGGAAGAGTTCATTTTGAATACAAAGCCACAGAAAGTGCATCTCCAGTATTCCCTCTGCGGATATCTTTTGAGCTGTTCTATTTCTCCATTCAGACCTTGGCACCCGTGACGTGATTGGAAAGGCAACATGCGATTCGGCTCTCAACGAAGTCTGTCTGCGGCACGTCTCCTGTCGACAGTTGGAAGTTTCGGCGAGTTGGGTCGACTCAGGCAATCGCTGTACAATGGCTGACGTATGTTTGCTTTGTAGGGTAAGACCTTCCCAAAATTGTAAGTGATTACGGCTATTTGAGGGAAACGTGCTGGCAATCCTTCGAGGGTCTGTCATGGACCGGTTTGGGCAACTGTCATTGTGACTCGTCGAATTCGGATTGCCATTGGATCCGATTGCATACAAACTATAACAAATGCATTCGTGAGTTTTGAATTTGCTTATTATTTTTGATTTCTTTTCGTGAGTTTCTAGGGGATTCCAAGCCTTCAGGAAACTCCCTTCTTCAAAGATTTTCAAGCCGCAATACATGTGGCACAGTGACTTTAAGTTTAATCTCAGTCAGTTCTTAACATTTTGTTGGCACTGAATTCTGTCAAGCTCATTAAATTGGCCTAAAAGATGAAAGTGGGGATATCAGCAGACAAAAGAATTTAGAATAAAATGCTATACAAATCAACTGAAAACATGTACATATGAACCGTGGAAAAGGAGTTCATGGCGCATTTGCTGTGGTTCTACGACCACCGTCGAAAAGTTTTCCCGATGGGGCGCAGGTTACATAGAACTGCATGCGTTTGGAACAGCAGAACCCACAATAAGGCTGATAAAATGGCAGCAGCTTGAGGAGACAATGAACGCGCCATGCAGTCATTCCCCTACCACGATTGCCAGTGTATTTGGATGCTCACCAAACTTGTTCAAAGGCTCAAAAGTTATGTTTTTGTTTGTTAACTGCTGTTTTTGGCCGCAGTTCGCCTTGCGAATGTTTCACAAGAATGCTGGGTTGTGAACAAAACTTTCGCCCCAGGCGGGACTAGAACCCGCACCTCTCGCTTTCCGGGCAAGTGCGCTACCAGTTACGCTACCGGGGCACCATTTCATTCCAACTCAGCTCTTCATGGTGTACCGGGCAAGCGCGCTACAAGTTGCCCCGGTAGCGTAACTTGGTAGCGCACTTGCCCGGAAAGCAAGAGGTGCGGGTTCTAGTCCCGCCTGGGGCGGAAAGTTTTGTTCACAACCCAGCATTTTTGTGACTCGAAAGTCATTTTATGGCTTCAGTTGTTACTTCTTTTGCCGCATACTATTCGTTTTAAGACGAAGAAGATGGTTACAAGTGGCGCCACTTACCTTAACCCATGGTCAGGGTAAGTGCTGAGATTGAACCCTGCCTGGACCCTGGAATAGAGCTCCTCTTTTTCCCGTTGGCATGTAGAGTCATGACAAATTTTGCTTTAAGATCAAATAGATGGGAAACGGTAGCGTAGCCTTGAATTCATGAAATTTTCCACCTTGCTGCCGTGTTGGAATGGAGCCCCACGACGGTCTTATGCCACTTAGATATGAGTTGCTGGATTTTAGACTGTATTTTGTTCTTTTCAGATGAGATCTCGCGGTCAGGTCAATTTTCATCAGCTGGTGCCAGTCGTAGTCAGCAGAGTCAGGCTCAGGCTGTGGCACCAACCAGAGCACCGCCACCACGGCCCGCAACTACTAGGCAACCAATTGCTACGACTACTACCGCCCTGACAACTAGGAAACCACCCAGGACGGAAAGGTAACGCTGACGGCCGAGTGATTGTATTCTGCCATCACTGGGACTCTCTCGAATTCAGCCGATATGTAATCACTGCCTATAGTATGCGAACGACTCCTCGTCCAGTGACCACGTCATGGGATCGAGGACGACATCAGCAACAACAGAGCTATGCCAGGACCACTACTGCTATGCCCAGCTGGCAGCAAACGACACCTGCAGTGGCTGTCTATCATTCGAATCAACAACGACATGTCGTTCCACAAACACAGGGTATGCTATTTTTCAAACTTCATTGAATTTATCG